AAAGCTCCCCCTCGTCTCTTACTGGCACTCTGGCAGCTGGCTCTTGTCGCTGATGGAGCAGGTGCCGCCGTGCAGGCAGAAATTGTCACAGGTCAGGCAGCTCGGGGCGATCTTGCCATCGGGGCAGCTGGGGGGGGCAACCTGGGGTCAGTGCCATGGGTACCCCCAGATGCCCTGTGCCCCTCTTGGGGTGTTCTGTGCCATCCCTGGGGTGTTCTGTGCCATGCCCGAGTGTTCTGTGCCCTCCTCTGGACGTTCTGTGCCATCCCTGGGTGTTCTGTGCCATCCCTGGGGTGTTGTGTGCCCACCCTGGGGTGTTCTGTGCCATCCCTGGGGTGTTCTGTGCCATCCCTGGGGTGTTCTGTGCCCTCCTCTGGGTGTTCTGTGCCATCCCTGGGTGTTCTGTGCCCCCTTCAGGGTGTTCTGTGCCATCCTTGGGGTGTTCTGTGCCCCCTCAGCCCCTCAGGACTCAGCTCTGGGCTCATCCCACCCCTGGGACACCAGAATGGGCTCTGGGGGACACACTGAGACACATCCACCTCCTCCTCATCCTCGCAGATTTATCCACCCTGAGTTACCCACCCAGCTCTGGCCACCCCTACCAAGGTTTTTCTGCTTTTCCCTGTGCCCACCACCCCATTTTCCCCCCTCCAGGCCCCACATTCCCAACACCTACATGCAGGAAACCTCTCCACTCTGCTTGTTGATGCTGCACTTGCCCTCCTGGCAGCGGGAGCACTTGTTCTCCTGGCACTGGGCACCCTCGAACTGAGGGGGGCAGCGGCACTGCTTGGCACCGCTGGCTGTCATCTGGCACACGCCGTCGTTCTCGCAGTAATCAAAGCATTGTCCTGGGGGGGACAAGGGGGTCAGGGTGGGCACCTGGTGGTCCCAGTGCCCCATGGAGGAGCAGCCAGACCCACAGAGCATCCCAGCAAAGAGGGGGAGCTGGAAATCCAATCCCATGGGGGCTGCTCCCAGGGATTCCCACAAATGAGGGGGAGATGGGAGCCCAATCCTTTGGTGTTGTCACCAGAGGGGACATAGAGGGTGGGAAAAACACAAAAGAGGGTTGGCAGCTCAACGCTCTGGCATTGTCCCCAGAGGTCTGACCCCAGGCACCTCCAGGTGAGGGACACCCATCCTTCTCATCCCACACTGATGCACCCAGACATTCCCAAATGAGGGACACCCACCCTTTTAACACCCAAATTGTCCCCAGACACCCCCAAACGAGTGTCCCCCACCCTCCCAGCGCCCCAGTGCTGTCCCCAGATGTCCCCAAATGAGTGACACCCATCCTTTTAATGTCCCCAGACATCCCAAGATGAGGGAGACTCATCCTTCCAACACCCCCACTGCTGTCCCCAGACATCCCCAAATGAGAGACACGCATCCTCCCAATCCTCCCACTGCTGTCCCCACACAGATAAGTGACTCCCATACTTTTACTGCCCTGATTGTTTCCCCCAGATGTCCCCAAATTAGTGACACCCATCCTTTTCATGGGTGTCACCCATTGTTGTACCCAGAAATCCATAGATGAGTGACACCCATCTTTCCAACAGCCCTTCTAACACTGCTGTCCACAGATGTCCTCAGGTGAGTGACAATCACCCTTTTAACACCCTGACTGTTGTCCCCAGATGTCCCCAAATGAGTGCCACCCACCCTTTTAACACCCAAATTGTCCCCACATGTCCCCAAATGAGTGTCCCTCACCCTCCCAGCGCCCCGGTGCTGTCCCCAGATGTCCCCAAATGAGTGTCCCCCACCCTCCTGACGTCCCCCCCGCTGTCCCGGCGGTGTCCCAGCAGTGCCACTCACGGTACTGGCAGCGGTCCCCGATGAAGGAGGGCGGGCAGCGGCAGCTGGGCTGGTTGCCCTGGTTGACGCTGCAGCTGCCGTTGTGCTGGCAGTAACCCGAGCACACCTGCTGGTTACACCTGGGGCCCGTGAAACCCGTGGGGCAGCGGCACGTTGGCATTCCTGGGGAGAAACAACATGTTGGTTCCTTCTGTAGGAGGGTCAGGACAGACGGACACGAGAGATCTCTGAAGCCAGGTTGTGGAATTTGGGGTTTATTGCAAAGGGCCAAGGGCAGGGAGCTGCTGGGAGCTGCCAGGGACAGCTGGAGCACGACTGACAGAGAAGATGGGTAGAGAGGATGAGAGGGTAAGAGTGTAAGAGAGCGAGGTTCCCATTCCAATGCAATAAATCTTCTTCTGTGTTGAATATTCTGATTCTCACTAACCAATCTAGTCCAAGATACAAATCCTATAGCATTTACATACAGCCTATAAGAATCACTACATTACCACACTGGCTTACATTTTAAACCCTAAAAACTCCTGTTTGGAGTAGTTTTAAACCCTAAAAACTCCTCTTTGGGCCCCTTCTGCCAAGCAAGTATAAACTTGCTTTCATTTCAATCTTGCTTATATTTTCCATATTCTCAAAATCTTTTGCCAGGCAATCATATTTGCAAGGCTTTCCTGTTTCATCTTCCCCAACACTTCACCTGTCTGTCTGTGTGTCTGTCTCTGTGTCTGTCTGTCTGTGATCCCCTCTAGCTCACCTAAACTTGCTTTCATTTCAACCTGACTTATAGTCTAACTATTCCCAAAATCTTTTGCCAGGCAATCCTATTTATGAGGCTTTCCTGTTTCATCTCCCCAACACTCCACCTGTCTGTCTGCGTGTCTGTCTGTGTGTCTGTCTGTGTGTCTGTCTCTGTGTCTGTCTGTGACCCTCCCAGCTCACCTAAACTTGCTTTCACTTCAATCTCACTTATAGTTTCCATATTCTCACAATCTTTTGTCAAGCAATCCTATTTATAAGGCTTTCTGTTTCATCTTCCCCAACATCCTCACCTGTCTGTGTGTGTGTGTCTGTCTGTCTGTGATCCAACCTGGCTCACCTACACTTGCTTTCACTTCAATCTCACTTATATTTTCCATATTCTCACAATCTTTTGCCAGACAATCATATTTATAAGGCGCTCCTGTTTCATCTCCCCCATCACTCCACCTGTCTGTCTGTGTGTCTGTCTGTCCGTGACCCCCTGGCTCACCTGAGGGGGAGGCAGCGCAGGTGCCCCCGTTCTGGCAGAAGCCTGAGCACTGGTTGATCTGGCACCTGTCCCCGCTGTAGTGGGGTTGGCATCGACACTTTGCCTGCTTGCGGGCGTTCAGGAAGCAGCTGCCACCGTTCAGGCACTCCAGGTCACACGTGTCGGTGGTGGGCACTGCCAGAGAGGGGTGAAAAATGTGAAAAATATAAAAAATGTGTGTTTTATGCTTGGTTTTTGGTGAATATTCAGGTGAGTGTTATATGTGTTGTGTTAGAAAGTGATGGTGTATTAATTCTCTTAAGTAGTGTGCTGGTGCTTAAATAAAAATAAAAATAAGATATATTTATATTATATTTATATTTATATTTATATTTATATTTATATTTATATTTATATTTATATTTATATTTATATTTATATTTATAAATAGATATAGATATAGAGATATAGAGATAGATATATAGATATACAGATATATAGATATATAGATAGATATAAAGATATATAGATATATAGATATAAATACAAATATGCATATAAATAAGATATATAGATATAGATATAGATATTGATATTTAGCTATAAAGATACATAAATAAATATAAATATAAATACTATATATAGATATAAATATAAATAAATATAAATATACATATAAATATAAATATAGATTAAATATAGAGGCACAGAGGGGATGGAAGTGAGCAGGGCTGCGCTGGCAGGACCCAACCTCCCTCCTCATCCTCATCCTCACCTCCTCTGGTGTCACCTACCTACAGGGGACACGGTGGGCGAGGGGACAACCACACAGGTGCCATTGTCCAGGCGTTTGCCATTGGGGCAGGTGCACACGGGGCCACTGGGGCTGAGCAGGCAGAGCCACTCGCACTTCTTACGGTCACAAGGGTTGGTCACTGCAGGGGGAGAGGGCACAGATGGTGAGGACAGCAAGGTGGTGACCCACAGCCCCTCTTGCTCCTCTAGGACATTCCTCTCCACAGCTCTGTGCTGCCCCATCCATGTCCTGAGGTCACCACCTGGCCAGTTGGACTCTCCAAATCCACCTCAGCAACCCCCTGCTCTGCCCACCCAGACACCCCCACTTTGGGCAGGAATTTGGGGGTCTGAGTTCCCTCAGACTAAATGCAGGAGGAGATGGCACAGATGGTGAGGACAGCAAGGTGGTGACAGTGTGGTGACCCACAGTTCTTCTTGCTCCTCTAGGACATTCCTCTCCACAGCTCTGTGCTGCTCCATCCATGTCCTGAGGTCACCACCTGGCCAGTTGGACTCCCCAAACCCACCTCAGCAACCCCCTGCTCTGCCCACCCAGACACCCCCACTTTGGGTAAGAACTTGGGGGTCTCTGAGTCTCCTCTTCCCAATCCCTGCCAACACCTCCCTCACCCTCCGGCACCTCACACCGGGTATCACCCCCTGGCACCTCCCCACCACCCCAGGAGCAGGGTGGGGGTCCCAGGCCCTCACCCACCCTCTGGCTGCTTGTACTGGTGGTAGAGCACCACGTCGGTGGCGTGGTTGAGGCCGGAGGTCAGGTTGGTGACGGGCTTGTGCCCAAATTTGTGGATCTTGAAGATGCGGTTGTTGATGTAGGTGACGCCGTAGATGTAGTCCTCAAAGATGTCGATGCTGAACGGGTGGCTCAGCCCTGGGGAAGCCAGCAGAAGACATGTGGAGGCACGAATTTGGGGATTTGGGGTGGGTTCTGAGGCCAGGGACCCCCATGGGACACCCCTTACCCTTTTTGTTGTCGATGGCCACCACGGGGTCGGTGCCGTTGAGGCGGATGCTGCCGATGACGGAGAGCTTGGCATCAGCCCAGTACAGCCTCTCATTGTGGTAGTCCACAGCCAGACCTGGGGGGACACAGCCCTCAGTGAGCCCTCAAGCCCCTCCTGAGCAGCTGACCCACAGAGCAGCACCCCCACTTGCCCCACACCCTTCTGCCATGGGGCTCTGAGCCCTCAGAACAACCCTCCCCAACAGAAATGGGTTGAACGTGTGCCCATCGTGGCTTTTGTCCCCCTTCCTGTCACCTGTCTGCCTCACCTGTTGGCCACTGGATGTTGTCCTGCACCAGGGTCTCCCGCAGTGTCCCATCCATGGCAGCTGTCTCGATCTTGGGGTGATTGCCCCAGTCTGACCAGTACATGGTTCTGTAAGGACACAGGCAGGTCAATCCCAGGGGAATTGGAGAAACCCTCCCACACCATCCCCACAGCATCCTGGAGTCANTGAATATTCTGATTCTCACTAACCAATCTAGTCCAAGATACAAATCCTATAGCATTTACATACAGCCTATAAGAATCACTACATTACCACACTGGGTTACATTTTAAACCCTAAAACTTCCTCTTTGGACCCCTTCTGCTAAGCCGAAAAACTACTCTTTGGAAACCCTAAAAACTACTCCATATTCTCAAAATCTTTTTCAAAATCTTTTGCCAGACAATTCTATTTAAAAGGCTTTCCTGTTTCACCTTCCCCAACACTCCACCTGTCTGTCTGTGTGTCTGTCTGTCCCGGCTCACCTAAACCTGCTTTCATTTCAATCTCGCTTATAGTTTCCATATTCTCAAAATCAATCATGTTTATGAGGCTTTCCTGTTTCATCTTCCCCAACATCCTCACCTGTCTGTGTGTCTGTCCATCCATGATCCCCCCCTGGTTTCACCTAAACCTACTTTCATTTCCACCTCGCTCATAGTTTCCATATTCTCACAATCTTTTGCCAGACAATCATATTTACAAGGCTTTCCTGTTTCATCTTCCCCAACATCCTCACCTGTCTGTGTGTGTGTGTCTGTCTGTCCGTGATCCAACCTGGCTCACCTACACTTGCTTTCACTTCAATCTCACTTATATTTTCCATATTCTCAAAGTCTTTTGCCAGACAATCATATTTATAAGGCTTTCCTGTTTCATCTTCCCTGACTGTCTGTGTGTCTGTCCATCTGTGATCCCCCCTGGTTCACCTAAACTTGCTTTCATTTCCATCTCGCTTATAGTTTCCATATTCTCAAACTCAATCATATTTACAAGGCTTTCCTGTTCCATCTTCCCCGACACTCCACCTGTCTGTCTGTGTGTCTGTCCGTGTGTCTGTCTGTCTGTGATCCCCCCGGCTCACCTAAACTTGCTTTCATTTCAATCTCGCTTATAATTTCCATACTCTCACAATCTTTTGCCAGACAATCATATTTACAAGGCCTTCCTGTTTCATCTCCCCCATCACTCCACCTGTCTGTCTGTGTGTCCGTCCGTCCGTGACCCCCTGGCTCACCTGAGGGGGAGGC